AGGGGGGGACCGTGGAGGAGAATGCGTGGAGGGTGGGGGGGTACAAGGTGGTGCATGGAGGTGGGTGGAGGGATAGAAGCTTGGAAAGGGCTGTAGGGGGTGAGGGTTATGGGACAGGGAGCCCAGGCTGCCTGGCTTACCCAGTGCTTGTGCTCTTGCCTGGCAAGTTGGGTCACAGACACTGTCCACCTCTGAGAGTCACTCAAAGAGCAGTTCAGTGGATTCCCTCCACCCTTTATTCACCTGCCACTAACATTTTTAACCCATTGGCTTTATAAAATTCCTCTGTCTCTCATTCTCTCTCCTGTGCTTGCTCTGTCTCTTTTTATGGATACATGTACACTTGAGAGCAAGCTACATACATCATGACCCTTTATAGACAGGGTCTCCCACCACAGATGGTACACTAACACCCACATCCTAAGGGTGGTTCTAGTCATAAGTAATCATTTTGCATGTATATCAGTAATAAAACAACATATCTTCGTACACTTGTGTGAATCTTCATATCTTGATTGTTGTTTATGAAGCAACTGGAATTTTAGTCAACTCACGAAAAGTATTTTTGCTTAACAATCACCAAACTCACCAGTGCTTTTTTCCAAGCCTTTCAGTGTACAAAACTTTTTCTTTCATTGCTTTATCATATTGTAATCTTTAAAAAACTGAAATGGCAGTTAAACTCAAAATGTGTAACAGCAACAATAAACATAATTCACTGGAATTCATAATATGAACAGCTTTAAACATATTTATACTTACATACTCACTGAAGACTGTTCTCTTTCTGACAAAAAACATTACAATATGCAAAGGATTGTAAATTTCATTCTAAATTCAAAGAGAAGAGAATATGGAGAAAAATGTGCATCTTCAAATATTAAGATATTTCTTTTTTTTTGGCAGAAAAAACAAGGCATATACATGCACTAGAGCCATTGATTTAGAATTTACATAGAAGCTTTCAAAATCTTTGTCTTTAACTATTGCACAATTTTCATTAAAAATATATAGGCTGGAGATTAAAGATAGCGGGAGACTGAGTAGAAGTTACACTGACACTCTCCTAGAACCAAACTGGAATTACAATTAAATATAGAAAAACTATCCTGAATAATAAACTGCAAATGAAGACAAGCAGAAGAGACCCTCATAACCAAGGAGGAAAAGTGGAGACTACATAGAGACTGGTAGGAAGTGCAGAGGTTCTAGAGGGCTGGCAGGGCTCCCACAGGCAGCAGCTTAAGGTCCAGAGGGATATCTCAGCTGTGGGG